AATTCGTTGTAGAGTACCAGGCTTCCAAAAACTCCCTCGCGTGTTTTGTGCTTCCAAATGCATCCTCCAGATCGAAATGGTGGCCTTGATTTTCATGCGCAGAAACCAATGAGTGCGGATCATGTCTTCTGATGGCCGCTTTGTGTTCGGTGATTAATCACCGTGCAAAGCACGCGAGGGAGTTACTGGAAGCCTGGTATTCTACAACGGACTCAACCAATCGACACATCGAACTGGACGCAGTGTACGCAACACTACTGGCGAACGATCGCCAACTCGATCGATTGAACCCGGTGGAACGTGTGCCTAGACAAGCAGAACTGATGCCAGACTCGCTCACAAGAGCAAGCAGACAAAGGCCATTAAACACAAGGGGCCAAGGTCAAGGTCCTCTGCCCATCAACCAGGTTGAACGGGGATCGAAGTCCCAACAAATAAGATTGCTCATCTCCACGGGCAACCATGGCCGCATAAAAAACGCGCGCACACCACGCTCAGCGCACTCTTACCGAGACTCCTCTACGCTACTCTACGCCATCGCAATGACGCTGGACCTTACCGTGGTGCGATGGTTTTTGTGCCTCAGTGATCCATTGAGCTATGCTGGGTGATGCTTTCTTGCACCTTCAGAGCCACTCATACCAGATCGGTCAATGGTTAGAGGCCAGACAAACTCATCCTCCTGGTCCTCCAGGTTGGGGGTAGGAATGAGAATGACTCCTTATTCCTTACAACGGACTTCTTGTAGCCCAACGCCAAACGTCTTGCGGTCAGGTTGTTGAACCCAAAGCTTTAGTTGAGAACCCTAACCGTTCTCCTGTCTAGGCCTGAGCAACCTTACAGTATCCTGCCCGCGCTATACTATCAATCTTACGTCATACAAGTATCTGATGCTCTGGCCGTCTCAGAGAATAATCAATAGCGCCCTATCTGCTGCATCGATCAGGGTGGACAGGGGTTTGGATGCTACTGCTCAAGCCTTCCAGTCTCCTTATTCCCCCTTAGGCTTTTTCTCTTTTATAGTCCCGTTCCAACTTCAATTTCATCCCTCCCGTTTTCAACCCCTCGATTCTTGTCCCGCCCCCAACATTCTTTGCTAGGCGTTTATCTTCTAGTTTCAACTCACATGTGAACGCGGAGCGTCACTCATGCCCTGTCAACAAGCACATGTCCAAGTAAGCGGTGAAACCCAGTTCATCGGCTTGCATTTGGAGCCCTCGATCAACCTTCACATTGGCATACCTCAATATACGCATATTACTACAGATCGGTCAACAGGCAGCACTTGCCCGAACATTAGAGACCCTCTCGATCGACATCTGCTGCTTATCGGAGACCCGCCTGCAAGATCCGAGCTCTGTGCTCACTTTGCGATTCCCTTCAGGTGACGCATGCAGTGTTTTCTCATTGCGCCTATGCGGTGACGACGCAGCTTCGAGCACTGACCAAGCTGATGTTGAGATTACCCCGAGTCCCCGGGCTGAAGTTACTATGGTTGATTGGATTCCAATCAGTAGCCGGATGTGGGCGGTCCGCTTGGCTCGCTCGTTCAAATCTTCGAAGTCGTGCGGGACTAATAGGTGTCTATTCATCATCGTTGCCTACGCGTCCACAAACTGTAGCTGTGATTCGCTAAAGACGACTATTACCGCCAACTTACCGTGCTCCTTCGCCACAGAAGAAGCACGGACACTGTAGTGCTGGCTGGGGATCTGAACACTAGTTGGAAAGTTGTCCACTGATGAAATGCATCTGGGCGATCAGCACGGTGTAGGTTCTCGTAATGATAACGGCGAGCGGTTGCTTCAATTGTATGAAGATGCCCGCTTATTTCTTGCGAGCACTAACTTCCGACACAGCACCCGCCGGTGGGTGACTTGACGCCCAGAAGCCTCGAACCAGCTATGGACGCAGATCGATCACATTGCAATCAGTTACCGCTGGAGAGGCTTCGTCCAAAACTATCACTCGATTTAGAGCACATGTGCGGACACCGATCATGCACTTGTATGTGCTGACTTGCGGATGCGCTTTGACGGACGCCCACGACGACGTTGTGAGCGTATTGAAACTAGTCAACTGACGAAGTCAGCTGTTCTGAATGCGTATCGAAGTACGCTGACATGCGAGTTGTGTAAACGCTCACTGGAGACAATTGATGGTCACTGGTCCCATGTTCACCAGACCTTACTAGCAGCAGCCAAATCCTCATGTGTTAGGTCTATTCACTAACATGGACATTGGGTTTCTTCGCGGTCTCTGGAGCTTATCGATGCTCGCCGGTATATTCCGGCTGGAAACTAACAAAATGAAATACGCAAAGAGCTCCGGACAATACTCCTTGTTTTTCCTGATGAGATACCGCGAATCCGGGTGGTCTCTCCGTGCGTCAGGGACGGAAGTAGCCGCTGACCTTGGCAACCATCGTAAGTTATTCCGTCTGAAATGGGAAACATGCAACAGGAGACCTGATGTTAGTGAAACAATTTGTGACGAGAGTGGACAGCCTATCCATAATCTGTCAAAACGTTTGGAGCGTTGGGTTGAGCATTTTGAAAAGCAATTTAATCGGCCGGAATTATTCGATTCTTCACCGGCCAGTGATCGCCCTGTTCCGTGAGCTGTCCCTTTGGATCCACCCTCGCTCAGAAGTCGAACGTGAGATCGGACTGTTGAAGTTGAACAAAACCGCGGGACCAGATGATCTCCATCCATCCCTCTTCAAATTCGGGGGACCTGCTCTTGTGGAGGATTCACACGAATTACTAGGGAAACTGTTCGAACAAGAGACTGTCCCAACCGACTGGAGCCGCTCCGTTATTGTTCCCATCTTCTAAGGAGGCTCACGTTCGGAATGCGGCGACCATAGAGGAACCACTCTGATCCCCATGGCCTCCAAATTACTTGCCTCTGTAATCCTTCACAGACTGACTGGTGCTCGTGAAAGCCAGATTCGTGAGGAGCAAGCCGGGTTTCGTCGAGGTCGTGGCAACATCGATCACATCTTCACTTTGCGTCAGCTTTTAGAGCGCCGTCACACATATTGGCGACCCACCGTTGTCGTGTTCCTCAACATCAAAGGTGCATTCGGTTCGGTTGATCGATGTGCCCTTCAGAATTGTCTACTCAGGAAAGGTGTGTCCGAGAAATATGTAAATATTATCCGAGAATTATACGCGCATAGCACGGACAGAGTGAGGGTTTACGGCAAGCTGTCGCCACCCTTCACTATCTCCAGTGATGTGAGATAGGCTTGTCCGTTGTCACCTTTTCTCTTCAACTTCGCTACTGACGAAGTCATGGCGGTTGCATTCACAGGACACATCTTAGAAGTTGTGAAGCTACTCCTAGGAGAACGACTTCTTAACTTGGAGTATGCACACGACATTGCCCTCATCTGTGACAGCTCTTGGACGTGCCAAGCCGCGCTGAACAGATTAGCGCTGACTGTCAGCCGCTTCGGGCTTTGCCTTGCACCACCGAAGTGCAAAGCGTTCCTCCAAGATTGGCAGGGATCGCCCCCTGCGCTGACCCTTGGTGGGGATCAGCTAAAAGTCGTTCGGAAATTTAACTGCCTTGAAAGTTGTATCATCGCCCTTAGGATTGAAGACGAGAAAACGAACCGTATAGCGAAAGCTCGAAGTGCTTTTGCTAACCTTCGCCACCTATGGCGGCGGCGCGACATTACTCTCGCCCTGTAGGGTAGAGTGTACAATGTAGCGGTAGGTTCGACCTTACTGTACGGTTGTAAAACCTGGCCCCTAAGATTGGTGGACATGAAGAGGCTAGTTACGTTCGACCATCAATGCCTTCGCAGTTTGGCTCACATCTGGTGGGAACACCGCGTGAGTAACGAGCGTGTTCGACGCATTGTTTACTGCACAGGAAAAGGAACTGAACCACTCAGCACCGTCATTTCACGCACCAGGCTCCGATGGCTGGGCCACGTGTTACGCATGCCAGCCCACCGACTCCTGCGACGTGCGTTGTTTGCTCACCGCGGATGTGGATGGAAGAAGAGGAGGAGTGGCCAAGCGATGACTTGGTGGAGAGGAATGAATGCCCTCACTTCGGAGCTGGTCTCGGTTGGAGTTTCACGGCTCCTTGGTTGGGGTCCAAAAGACGGTGAACACGTTTGGCTGGATACACTTGCTGACATGGCAAGGAGCTGACCTCAGTGGCGTTCCTGCTGTGAGTTTCTTTATCCCTCCTCATCCCTTTTAGTCTACCCTCCAATCAGGATCTCATTTCTTATCATAATATAATTTTACATCATAATTTTTCTTGCTTACTAGTAGCCAGCTAGTAGCTTTCTGGAAGGATGCCCATCCGTTGCTGGTAGCTCAGTTGGCATTCAACTGTTGTATTTATTTTCTATTTTCATTTATGTATTCCGGCACAGTAGCTGAGGTGTTTTGCACCTCTAGCTAACATGTGTAATGATGATGATGATGACTGCACGCCACTCAACTACCCATTGATGATGTCACCTCGATTGGTGCCGAAACGTTTACAACAAAATTGCCAAGCTCAGCGAACCGTTCACCCGCCATATGAACAACCTGAGCTACCAGTCTTCAGTTCTATAAGGGGGATGATGTAGCGCGTCGAATTGTCGCTATAATAAGTCAACAGGTAGGATGTCGTCGAGTGTAGCCCACATTGTGCTTTTTGTTTCCTCTTCTCTTTGCCTCCCCATTTCGCCTTCACTGTCGTTAGAGCAGCCATCTCGTGCGTGTTTTCACGGCATCCATCCATTCATACTGTCACGTCACTTTCGGTCTTCCATCAGCAGCTGTGACCCTGCCGTCTAGTTCGCCACGAGGTGTAACACAGACACCCTCCATCCAGCTCTAACTCTTACTCTTATTAGGTGATTGAGATGTAACTGTCCAGCCGCTTACGAGGTATTTCTTGCATTTCAGTCCCCTCGGTCTATTACGGCCCACAGAATTCCTCGTAACCATCAATCAGACGTATACTATACATCATCTCGCGCTATGCCTGAGGACCCGCAGTCTGTACGTATCAAGGCGGTTGAATCCGTTCTGCAAGACTACAAGACTCTTATACTTGAAACCCGCAGAAAATATGCACCTATTAAGGAGGTTGGTGTACAGTCCTTGTATATATGCCAACAGGCTGCTGAAAAACAAGCCCATTGGCTTCGCTCGCGCGTGAACAGCAATGAGGACTTAAATGCCGGTACTTTATGATTTGTACGCACTCATCTTCTAGTTTTTTCTTCTAATATCAAGGCATTACTAAGTCCGTTTTTGAGTGGGTGTGGAACAAGACAACAAAAAATTGTCGTTGTTTGCCTCACTGCTTGTCAAAAGCTGATCAACAACGAATTTTTAACAGAAGTAATTTGATTCGATATAGTCTACTTTAAGGACGGAGCGGAAGCCTTGATTGATGCGTTGTCGCAGTTGGTTGAGGCGCGTGTTGAAGAGCTGCGCGTTCTCCAAACTACGATACTTCTGATCACTACGTCTCCTCTTGTTCGTTCTAAACTACTTGCCAAGGTACGTTTTTTGAATTAGAAAAGCACTTCCTTGATGTTTATTGTACCTATGCCATTAGCGGTTTCCTGCATAACACGAGTTACCAATAACTGCCCATTAGAGTGACCGTTTTCTGGGCCATTAGACGTCTCTGAAACACACATGGGACGAATTTCGGTCACTCAAAATATTTTCAGTACTCTTAATATGTCGCAAATACCATGAACATTAAGCTGGAACCGATTTTCAAATCGTGATTGCGCAGTTCGTCCCTAATGTCTCCAACTGGGACTGTGGCCACCCAAAAGATATTTCTCACCTTATGTACAAATTTGTTACTCAATCGTACACTATTGGTTTTTGTCTTAACGTCGACTCTACGGCCATTTTTACCTACACTTCTGTCCACCGTGAGTACTGACAATGACGTACGCTCTCATCGCTTCATCCATCCGTAGTAGTAGTAGTAGCAGTAGTAGTAGTAGTAGTAGTAGTCGTAGTCGTAGTCGTATTGTTAGTAGTAGTGGTAGTGTTATTAGAACCAAACGTTGCAGAAAATGCTCGCCAACACCATCCTGCGTATGCTTTTCTGTAGCCAAAACGACGGTGGACACTTCTAACATCTAATTCGTTGATATTTACCGACATTTCACACTTTTCATCTAAATATAAGTGAGGAAATGAATAAATGTATCTTCTCCATTGTACACGAGAAACACCATCGAAGGTCTGATCAATTTGTACAACTAGCAATTGTCTGACTGTGAGGGCAATTGTTGCATTCATGACTAAATTGGTGTGCTGTCTAATGGTGCCACGAGTGCGTCGGCGCAAGCTGAAATCTAAGAGCATTGTCATGTCAAGTCAAATCAGGAATTCGTTTTCATGCACCCATGAAGAGTGAATTTTCAGCTGTAACACACATGCGATCGAAACGGTAAAGCGAACAACACTGTAACTTTACAATGTGCCCCGGAAGTATGATTCCCTTTAGCAGCGAAAGTAGTCTAATGAAAGCTTACGGGTTTGTTGGAAGCCAGTCGTGAGGCGATAACAGCTTTTGTGACGATAGCAATACGGCGCCCATCGACCGGTCATCACATACGGCCAGGCTGTTTTTCTCAATTGCTAGCACAGCGACCCACTAACCACTTTGCAGGGGACCCTTTTGCTGGTTTTTCACCTGAGTGAACGCCGACTGCCAATCGATCGAAGCATGACACGTTCAGTGCGGCTGTGGTGTCTGGCTCACGTCCAGCTCTCACATAAGAACGGCCTTCGCTCCGTTGGTCTTGCCCTGCGGTCAAGGCATGACAGGTCGATTGCGGTTGCGATCTTTGCTAACGTTCAGTTCTTGCACCCGAACGGCTCGGTGAGCCCTGCGATCGTAAAGAAACATGTCGCGCCTCTGCGCCCATCGCACCCCTGTCGTCAAAGCAATCTGCGCCATTGGACAGTTAGCAATTCAGCGTACCGGGGTACGTCAGCATCTGAGTGCAGCCGCTCCCAGCATCGGACACGATTATAAAAACACCCTATACAAACGCCAAGCCATTGTGACGAGACTGGACCATACCGTGCTGCGATGGTTTGCGTACCTGCCACGTTGGGTGGCATCTTCCAAATGCCTTTAGAGCCACTCATACCAGACAGGTCAATGGTTAGGGGTCGGACCAACACAGCCTCAAACTCCTCTTCGAAGGTTAGGGAGAAGTCGATAGCCATCTTCTCATGAAACGTAGCCATGGGAGGCAAGTTTATAGCTTATTAGCTCACAGCTCAATTGCCATGGAGCATGAACGCAACACATTTTCTCTGACGGTAAGAGTCCACCGCCCGGTAAATAATGGCTTGCTACCTCTCACCTCAAATGAAGTAGCTCCTAGTAAAACTGATGCAAACGAGTCAAATCCGTCCTGTGACTGGACGTAGCTGCAGGTGCCAAATATACTAGTCAAAAACTTGTGAAATGTTCTGGATCTCAAAAGCTGAGCGTGGTAGACCTCAACGGTTCCTGCGATAACAGTCGCGAGATAGAGTTGTTCTTCAGTCTTGTGAGAGGCTATTGAGGCAAATGCTCCGGGTGGAGACTCATAAGCGAATTTCCGTGTACTCCACTGCCATGTTCGGCACTCCTGTCTTAGGCAAGAGGCAGGGCAGCTATAACAAAACTCATCTATCGGAATGGGCAACCGGAGAGAATTATCTGCAACTTCATGCTGGTTAACACAACATACAACAACAGCAGTAAATCAGCCATTTGAACTGATGTTTCGCTCTCGTATAACCATGGTGACCCACTGAACAAAGAATAATAATAGAGAGAGGAGGGACACATAATTAAAAACCTTGGTGCCCTAAACAAACATGTATGGTCAAGATACCTATACGTTGTATCAACAACATACTGTCACAAACAACTGGCTGCATCCGCGAGACAGCTTCCTTGCGACTTTCACTGCCCCGCGTCACAATCAACCAATACCGCGCAGATAACTGAGCACCAAACATACGTTAAACAGGCAGTCCGATTAGGATACAACAGTAGACGTGCCACAGGTGCCGAAAGCGAGACGGACCGACGGCACTCAGTTTAGTCATCAGTGACTTCATTACCTGCTGCAAAGTCGACTTGTGTCCACCTCGAGCCTTGCGCCACCCTACATGTGGCAGACAAAGCAAGGCGCTCCTCGGTAAGCGGTGACCAGGGATACGTAATACGTGCCCAAGCCAACGCAACTTATTCAGTGCTATTTGTTGTTCTAAGGAACTAGCTTGGTTATCACTGCCTAGTACTCGCTTACGCACATCATCATTGCGGACATGCTGATGCCATGCGACACCAGCAATGCTCCGCAGACAGCAGTGATCGAAGACTTGAAGGCGCCTCAGACCAAAGGGACCAAGTTTCACTGTGACCTTGTAAACATGGTTTTTCAGACGTAGGAAAGCCCCTTTTTGTCGCCAAAGATGTCGCAGATTTAGGAAGGCAATTATGCCTTTTGCTATACATGAACTGATTTCAGTTGCTATGCGTCTATCGTTTCTAGTGCAGTTTCCAAGATAAGTGAATATCAACTACCTCGAATTTCCCGTTATCAAGGGCCAAGGAGTCATCATGTGGCTGGTAGCCCAGCAACATCACATGCACTTTGAAGGTTTGAAGCACATACCAAAGAATAGGACTACTGCAGAGAAGTCATTCAAGGTTGATCGTACCGCCCCAACATCGTTAAATAGTGAGGCGATATCGCACGAATCATCGGGATCATCTAGCCTTTCACCAGGCAGCACCTCAACGCCTGCATCCTGAGGCTCCGCAAGGGAACACTCCATGGTGGAGTCCACGAGGAAATTGAACAAAAATGGGGAAATCGGACAACCCCGACGAACGCCGCTTGTTGTCGGAAAGATATCCGATAAGTCATCGTAGAATTTGACGTGACCCGCGTAAAATATTCACATATTTCATGGAAACACTTTTCTGCGCAACTATTTCGAACAGAATGCATCGAACGACTGAGTCGAACGCACTCTTGAAGTCCAGAAACACAGCAATTATTGGTCTGCTCTAGCACTTGCCGCAATGGGCGTATATGGTCTGTACAGCCCTGTACTGGTAGAAATTTGCCAGCTCTTCCCTAATGCAGAATTCCCCTTCCGCAGAGGGGTGACGAACGAGAATCGAGGCCAGTAATTTTGTCACAACTGGCATTAGGATAATATCTATATGGTTAACACAGTCTGTGCGACTACGCTTCTTGTATATTGCCACTATAATGCATTCACTCCAACTAGCCGGAACGGTTTCTTCCTTATAGACATGTTCGAACAGGGGGGTCAGTACTTTGCAGAGGACCTCACCTCCATCCTTAGTGCAGGTGGAAGGGAACCCGGGCCAATTGCACGAAAACAATTGAGGGCTGTGATCGCGTTTCGGATCTCAGCCTCCGAATGAGCCTATAAACTAACCGCCCATGGCTCAACATGCATCACTTGAGTGGCAAGAGGTCAAGAATTAGGGGGCCAACTGAACTGCTCTCGAAAGTGTTCCGCCTCACGACTCATACGGCGCTCCTTATTATGAGTCATGACACCCGCGTTGTCTCTGATTGTCTCGCTGACGCCTAGTTTTCTGTAGCCAGTGGTGCGGATCAGTTGGAAGAGCTTGCGATAATGATCTACTGCTCCTGGTTCCTCCATTTCTTGAGCTCGACTGGTTCCCCAGACTTCCTTGTCAGTACACAGGCTCCGTTTTAGTTCGCGCCTAATAGTCCGTCTGGTCACATTATGCCCAGAGTCAGCAGGGAGATTTCTATTGGATTCCGCCAGGTTCACCAACCTCTCGGGTATTCAGTAACTGGTGTGGTGAAGGCTGATAATATCACAAGCAGATGCTCCTGCGTCGTGCGTAACAGCCGAGATCCTATTCCACTGAAGGTCAGTGTCATTAAGACGAGGGAGCGAAAGTTCGGTACGCAGTGCAGCTTGGTGGGCTTGGCTAATATAGGGCCATGTTGCGCAGAGGAAGCGCTGCTTCGTCCTGGGTTATTCGTTGCCCCAAGGTGTTGCTTATCTATGCCATGCAGACGGATAACTACTTCATCCGTGAACATAATTAAATGTACATCCAGCGGGAAATTTTTATAACGCTTCTCCGAATCTCATAAGTTCAAACTGGAACTTTTGTGGACCACGCTTTCGGAATTTTCTTTCTTTCTTTCAATATCCGGCGAACAGCATATGTTGTGGTGGCGCAATGTTGGGCAATTTGCTGAATGCTGAACTCACTCTTTCCGGATAACTTACGTATGACCGCGGAAGCGGAAACGTCATCGCTAACGGTACGAGGCCGCGCGTTGCACACGCTTTAATTCCTATCAACTTTCTTCACTAGTCGGAGCACGTACCGGTTGTTAACGGGCGTCAGTGCGCATTTTCTGCCACGTCGGATCTGCACTCACCATAGAGCCGCGGAATGAACACCCACTGATCTGAAGACACGTTACGTGACTACGGTTGCATATAAATCGATGACACTGGTGTGTGCCCTTGCTCTACTGCTGAGACAGCGGGCCGATAACCATATGACAGGGATCGCTCTGGCTCACTTGGCTGAGCCAGACTGAGCGCCATATCCCAATCGATCATGACAAGACTGTGCCATGGGCTGTGGCCGTGCTGGCCATGCGTTCCTCCATTGGTGCAGAGTACTGACGGTTTGGTCTGTCTGTCCAACTATCGCACCGGGACCAGTAGCGTGTCTGCGGCCGTTCTGGCCATGCATTCCTGACTGGGTGAGCTAAATTTCGGCATACCAACGTTTACAACTGGGCGGTCGGCAATTTATCGTGCTTCCGTGTCACGTAAACACGTACGGCAGTTAAAGGTGCTACGCTTGAAAATCCGACCGTATTTCTCGAACGTTATATATATATATATATATATATATATATATATATATATATATATATATATCGTTAAATGCGTCTGATGTTGCTGAAAAGACTCCGTGATTAAACCATCATTTGGATGCACTCTGGGATTGCGGATATCGTTCACCAGCATGTTCATGATTTGTTGGAAAATGGCCGATGTTTGTTTTCACTCCGAAAGGCAGCCAATTATACTTGGAAAATTTGAGGCGTATATTGAATGTTGGTGACTTTCTGCACTCCTCGGCCACTGGAACGTGCGTCTTCTAGGTTAAGTTATGCGAATCATTTATCACCGTTGAGTTTGGCGAAAGTCTTCCGGCACAGATAAGGGGCATTGATCAGTCTAAATTTTTGAATACGAGTCCTTTGAAAATCAGCACAGGTACGTACCTCACCATTTGCTTTCTTGAATACTGCGATTGGTGCCGCCAATCCGGAATAATAAACACGTTCATTTATGCCTTCAGATTGCAATCGATTCAGCTCGGCACACACTAACGATTGAGTTGCCCACGGTTTTGGTCCTATAACGGTTTTTGAGGTTCAGCGCAGCACTGATTATCACGCAGTGCCTCGTTGCTTCGTTTCATCCCTGAAAGTCGACTTCGAGACCGCGGGCTTGACATGATTGTAATAACTGGTTGACTTGCGGTTGACTGGCAGATCAAGCAAATTCAATTCATACGTCCACTCGAGTCCCAACAAATGCAAGCCTGACTGTTTCGTTACGAAACATGTTGTGTGGAATTGCTGACCACAGAAGCTGACTTGACAGTCCCGTTCGCCAGGTAATTTTGGTGTACATCCTCAAACATTCCGTGCCGCATGTCCGTTTTGTACGAGTATCGGCCCCCCCAGCATGCACCACGTATCCAACGAGATCTGGGTAACATCTGAAACTGCAACCAGTTGTAACTTGAGCTTTTTACCATTGATTTGCACATCTGTATACTTGGGCTTGCTAACACCATCAACTTTGATGGTCGCGGCGATAGCTCTGGTCAGGTTGGGATGTCTGAATGATATGGCATTGTTACACTTCTTCCCGATCCATGTCGGACAACCTTCCGATCAGGACGACTCCAAATAACCTCTTTTTCCGCGACAGTTGCAGGTGTGATCCTTGTATGGACAACCTTGAGCAAAATGGCATTATCTACCAAATCAACAAACAGTGAGACTTAGCGAGTGTCGGATTCACGTGAACTGCTTCCTATTGGGGAGTCCGCGATTGGTTGCGCAGATGAGCTCATGATTATTCAGCTTAGGCATCTGCTGAGTTGTTTGAGTGTAATGTCCCTGACTTGTCTTCTTTTGCCTTCACCGGCCCCCTGCTGTAACGTAACTACAGTGTTCTGTTCCATTTTTTCAGTACTGGTATCTGAATACCGTCACCTATTGATAGTAGGCTACACACATAAATGAATCACTTGTGCTGATCGTCCGCATCTTGTGCATCTGACCGTTCGTATTCTTGATTCACACGGCTCAAATATCTGGCCGGCCCGGTCTTCGTCTTCCTTCATGCTCATCATCAGATGTCTGTTCTCCAACTATTTATGACAAACTGCAGTGACTTCATCAAACGATAAGTCAGCGCTCTCCTTCGGTAGGATGCAACTCATGAGCTTTTCATTTTTGGCAGCGTCCATCTTCCGCAACCTAAGGCGGATATTTTTCTCCTCGGACGTTGACGATATCAACTCGGAACATGTCTTCATACTTGTGGAACCAGAAAATGTTGTACCATAATCAGCATAATATTGGAGCCCAATAATTTGCTGTGTCACGGTTTCAAGTAAAGGGATATCTTCACTTGCCCCTCTAGTGTATCTTTAACTTCTGCATCAGCGTATCGATAAGCTTGGCCTGTGATCTTCCAAAGTGTGCTTGCTACTGCTGCAAACGTGTCTACATTACCATCTTGGGTTCCTTTGGGATTTTCTATTGCAACTGTTGTTACGTTGGATGCTCCTATCCACTGCCTGGGGCTCTGATCTGACGGGGGGAAGGAAAATGTAAATCAAAGATCCACTGACCAGTGTGTGTTAAGGATCGAAACGTTATGTATTTATAGGTTAAATACAACCTTGTGGCGATGTCTCTACCTTTCACTGTTCTGTGCCTTGGCTTTGATTTGCCCGGTTATCTATCGCCTGGTTGATTGGCTATCACTCGTACAATATTTAGCCGTGGCTCGCGTCTACCACATTGCCATGGTGCGCCGTAATTGGCTGCCTGTTTTCATGGCCATACTTAGACTCCCCCACGCTAACGATGACGGACCGATTCTGTCGGCTTCTCACGCGGCCATCCGCAGTCGCGCTCAGCACATTGAGGCCTTGTGTCCGCGCTCGTCCGGTGTAACCGCCACACAGATCACAATGGTGAGAGTTCACCCTGGCCACTTGCCGTGACTGCTCATAGTATTCTCTCTTCATCATCACAATGTCATCATACAAGGACCAGTCAGATTGACGGCCAAGAAGCATTTCAATCTCTGCGTCGCTTCGGCCTGGTGGCCTGCCACCACTTTTGTCCGTTGACTACTCTAAACTCGTTTGCTAAATAAGCCGGCTGCGACGCCTTATTCTACTGATACTATGATTACTAGCGAAACTGTGCGACTAAGAAGCGTTTCTTGCGGCGTCGCCATTCATGTAGTTGCTTGGTACTTTAGTTGTATTCACACTTAACCTGTCGGACTAATACATTTCAACGACAGTCGTGTACGCACCTTTTGTACCTTCTGCTGGCCACTTTTGTCCCCAGACATTGTGTCTGCTGTTGTAGTCACTTGACAGTTAGGTCTTTTATTATTTAGGTGAGTGTATTTGCCACAATCAGAGTCAGCTCACGAGAGTGTGTCACTCTTAATGCGACTCGGCGTCGCTCATTATACTTCCTTCTAGCTGTTTGAGTTGCTTCTTTACCATTGATCATCGCTTTATTCTAACCTTTTCTCTAACGTTTTAACGACTCAGCTCACTGCTCGCCATACACCACCTTGTTAAGCTGTTCTCAACTGTGCTATTTTGTATTCCACCCCCGTGTACTTTCTGATACGCCGAAGTATAAAGAGAAACTATGAACAATCAAGTTTGGTCAGTTCATGAGTTTTATTGCTTCTTTCTCTCTTGCCCTTTGTAATTCTCATTCTTCTCTTTTTTCGTCTACAGTCCTTCGTTTTGTGTTTGCGCCTCTACGAGTCCAAAGTGACGTCCACTGTTAATACTGCCGCCGCTGCGGTTCGTCAATGTGCATGCTCTGTTTTTGAGCGCGTTTTGAAGGAAGAAGGCTCTTTGGCTCTCACGACAAGTGCCTCGAAGATTGATTCAAAGATTCGTGCGTTCGCTCCTCATTGTTCACCAGTCATTTTGTCTCAGTTTGGTCATTTAAATGTTTAAACCAAAATAGAACCGGATTTATTAGAAGTGGCTGCATACTTGGATGGGCACAATAGCCACATCCTCATGTGATGCATCGTCGGGTGCCTCGTTACATGTTTTAATTCGATCAACCTTTCTTTGCACATCAAGGCCAATCATCCTGTTCACAGTGCGCAGTTTACCGACATTTCGGCGTGGTTGTCTTAATATACTGCATCGCAATGAGGCTGGACCCAATCGCAATGAGGCTGGACCCATCGCAATGAGGCTGGACCTTACCGGGGTGCGATGGTTTGTGTTCCTCAGCGATCCATTGAGCTATGCTAGGTGGTGCTTTTGCACCTTCAGAGCCACTCATACCAGATTGGTCAATGGTTAGAGGCCAGACAAACTCAGCCTCCTGGTCCTCCAGCTTGAGGGGTTGGAATGCGCGTGGCACCTTATTCCTTAAAACGGCCTCCTTGTAGCCCAACGACAAACCCGCTGCCTTGCGGTCTGGTTTTTGGACCCAAAACTTTGGTTAAGAACCCTAATCGTTCTCCTGTCCAGGCTTGGGCAATCTTACAGTATCCTGCCCACGCAATACAATGATTCTTTCCTCAAACAATTTCTTGATGCTCTGGCCACCGCAGAAAATAATCAATGGTGCCCTATCTGCTGCATCGAGCAGGGTGGATAGGGGTTTGGATGCTACTGCTCAAGCCTTCCCGTCTTCTTATTCTCCCTCTTACGCTTTTTCACCCTTACCGTTCCGTTTCAACTTCACTATTATCCCCCCAGTTTTCAACCCCCAGGTTCTTGGCCCTCCCCCAACATGCTTTTCTAGGCATCTATCTTCTAGTTTCAACTCACATGTGAACGCGGAGCGTCACTCCTCTCCTGTCGACAAGCCCATGTCCAATCAAGCGGTCCATTCCAGTTCATCGGCTTGCATTTGGAGCCCTCGACCCTCCCTCAGATTGGCGTGCCTCAATGTACGCACATTACTACCGATCGGTCAACAGCCAGCACTTGCCCGAACATTGTAGACCCTCTCGATCGACATCTGCTGCTTATCGGAGACCCGCCTGCAGGACTCGAGCTCTGTGCTCACTCTGCGATCCCCTTCAAGTGACGCATGCACTGTTTTCTCATTGCGCCTATGCGGTGACGACGCAGCTTCGAGCACCGGCCAAGCTGATGTTTGCATTGCCCTGAGTTCCCTGGCTGAAGCTGCTATGGTTGATTGGATTCCAATCAGTAGCCGGATGTGGGCGGTCCGCTTGGCTGGCTCGTTCAAAGCTTCGAAGTCGCGCGGGACTAATAGGTGTCTATTCATCATCGTTGCCTACGCGTCCACATACTGTAGCGATGATTCGGTAAACAACGACTTCTACCGCCAGCTTACCGTGCTCCTTCGCCACAGAAGAAGCACGGACACTGTTGTGCTGGCTGGGGATCTGAACGCGCAAGTTTCAAAGTTGTCCACTGATGAAATGCATTTGGACGGTCAGCACGGTGTAGGCTCCCGTAATGATAACGGTGAGCGGTTGTTTCATTTGTATGAAGATGCTCGCTTATTTCTTGCGAGCACTAACTTCCGACACAGCACCCGCCGGAGGGTGACTTGGCGCCCAGAAGCCTCGAACCAGCTATGGACGCAGATCGATCACATTGCAATCAGTTACCGCTGGAGAGGCTTCGTTCAAAACTATCACTCGATTTAGAGCACATGTGCGGACACCGATCATGCATTTGAATGTGCTGACATGCGGATGCGTTTTGGCGGACGCCCACGACGACGCTGTGAGCGTATTGACATTAGCCAAATGGCGAAGTCAGCTGTTCTGAATGCGTATGGAAGTACGCTGACATGCGAGTTGTGTAAGCGCTCACTGGAGACAATTGATGGTCACTGGTCACTTGTTCACCAGACCTTACTAGCAGCAGCCAAATCCTCATGTGGTATGTCTAATAGCCAACATGGTTATTGGGTCTCTTCGCAGTCTCTAGAACTTATCTATGTTCGCCGGCATATTCCGACTGGAAGTGAACACAATGAAACTCGCAATGAGCTCCCGGCTTGACTACGTGCTAGCCTGATGAGAGACCGCGAATCCGGGTGGTCTCACCGTGCGTCAGAGACGGAAGTAGCCGCTGGCCTTGGCAACCATCGTAAGTTATTCCCTCTGATACGGGAAACGGGCAACAGGACACCTGATGTTATTGAAACTGTACGTGACGAGAGTGGACAGCCTGTCCACAATTTGTCAAAACGTTTGGAGCGTTGGGCTGAGCATTTTGAAAAGCAATTTAATCGGCTAGAATTGTTCGATTTTTCGCCGGCCAGTGATCACCCTGTTCCGTGGGTTGTCCCTTTGGATCCACCCTCTCGCTCAGAAGTCGAACGTGAGATCGGACTGTTGAAATTGAACTAAGCCGCGGGACCAGATGCTCTTCAATTTCGGAGGCTCTGTTCTGGTTGATGCTTTATATGAATTACTAGTGAAACTGTTAGAGCAAGAGACTGTCCCAACCGACTGGAGCCGCTCCGTTATTGTTCCCATCTTCAAAGGAGGCTCACATTCGGAATGCGGCGACCATAGAGGAACCACTCTGATCCCCATGGCCTCCAAATTACTTGCCTCTGTAATCCTTCACAGACTGACTGGTGCTCGTGAAAGCCAGATTCGTGAGGAGCAAGCCGGGTTTCGTCAGGGTCGTGGCTGCATCGACCACATCTTCACCTTGCGTGAGTTGTTGGAGCACCGTCACACATATTGGCGGCCCATCGTTGTCGTGTTCCTTGGCATCAATGGTGCCTTCGATTCGGTTGATCGATGTGCCTTTTGGAATTGTTTACTCAGGAAAGGTGTGTCCGAGAAATATGTAAATATTATCCGAGAATTATACGCGCATAGCACGGACAGAGTGAGGGTTTACGGCAAGCTGTCGCCCTCCTACAATATCTCCAACGGTGTGAGACAAGGATGCCCGCTGTCACCTTTCCTTTTCAACTTCGCTATTGACGAAGTCATGAAGATTGCATTGACAAGACATGACTTGGAAGGTGTGAAGCTACTCCTAGGAGAACGACTTCTTGACTTGGAGTATGCAGACGACATTGCCCTCATCTGTGACAACTCCCAGAAGTGCCAAGTTGCGCTGAACGGATTAGCACTGTCTGTCAGCCGCTTCGGGCTTTGCTTCGTACCATCGAAGTGCAAAGCTTCCCTCCGGGATTGGCAGGGATCGCCTCCTGCGCTGACCCTTGGTGGGGATCAGCTAAAAGTCGTTCGGAAATTTAACTGCCTTGAAAGTTGTATCATCGCCCTTAGGATTGAAGACGAGAAAACGAACCGTATAGCGAAAGCTCGAAGTGCTTTTGCTAACCTTCGCCACCTATGGCGGCGGCGCGACATTACTCTCGCCCTGTAGGGTAGAGTGTACAATGTAGCGGTAGGTTCGACCTTACTGTACGGTTGTGAAACCTGGCCCCTAAGATCGGTGGACATGAAGAGGCTAGTTACGTTCGACCATCAATGCCTTCGCAGTTTGGCTCACATCTGGTGGGAACACCGCGTGAGTAACGAGCGTGTTCGACGCATTGTTTACTGCACAGGAAAAGGAACTGAACCACTCAGCACCGTCATTTCACGCACCAGGCTCCGATGGCTGGGCCACGTGTTACGCATGCCAGCCCACCGACTCCTGCGACGTGCGTTGTTTGCTCACCGCGGATGTGGATGGAAGAAGAGGAGGAGTGGCCAAGCGATGACTTGGTGGAGAGGAATGAATGCCCTCACTTCGGAGCTGGCCTCGGTTGGAACGTCACGGCTCCTTGGTTGGGGTCCAAAAGACGGTGAACACATTTGGCTGGATACACTTGCTGACATGGCAAGGAGCCGACCTCAGTGGCGTTCCTGCTGTGAGTTTCTTTGTCCCTCCCTATACCTTTTAGCCTCCCCCTCCACCTACGATCTCATTTCTTAGCGTAAAATACGATAATTATTTTCTTTTTGCCTAGTAGCCGGCTGGTATCTTACCGGAACGATGCCCATCCATTACTGGTAGCTTAGCTGACATGCAACTTTTGTATGTATTTTTCTATTTTCATTTATGTATTGCGGCACAGTAGCTGAGGTGTTTCCAACCTCTAGCTGATGTGTATAAAAAAGAGTATATAATATACTGCTTGTTTTATCTGTTTGACTGATTCATTAGTTTGCACTAGACGGCAGTTTCGGCGATGTATCATCGGATTAACCGGTCATTTATAACCCTAACTATACCGGCCTAATCACCCAGCGAGGTTGGAACTGGGTTGGCGCCCATTTGTGTGAGTTTAGGAACTTGCGAATTTTCTGCTTCGTTGTAGTCAGGATGTAGACTCGAAGACCTTGATTGAGGACCCCGATCGCTCTCCCACCCTTGTTTTGTTACCCTGATTGTATCCTAGTTCATATTCCACTTTGTCTATCATGTCATACTTTATTCTTCTTCATTATCATATTGCATACTGCATACAGTAGGATAAATAAACTGAGACAACCAGCAACTGATACCTCTCTTCTTTTACTCTCATCCGTTTTTGCATCCTTGTTGATTTTTCCATAATACCTGGTTTGAGCTACTTCCGCCACAACGCTACTGACGTCTGGCCATTCACATTTGTCTCACCCTAATACACTGTAGTCTGCTGCCATCAAGACCCTTCATCAGATCCCCCTGTCCAATCACTTGACTGTGTTCAACTCGCACTTGCGCGCACGCTGTATTCCCAAGGTGTTGACATGTGCGACGTGTCAGCAACTAGAAAAAGACCTTCACGCGGCTATCGAACTGACATTCACTGGCTTTTCCTCCCACCATTGGTTGCGCGTGTCTGGAGGCGCTTATTCAGCGACCGCAAGTCTTGTTAGTTTGGGAATCAGCCTTAGTTCTATGGTTGTACATTCGCTGGTTGATTGTATTCCT